CCCAGCTCTGACACGGAGGCCTGGAGCACCGCCCTCCACGCCAGGCCCCGCACTCACCCTGGCAGCAGGACGTCACGCACCAGCGCCAGGAGGTCGTGCTCACCGCTGGCCACGGCCTCCTCCTCCCCATCCTCAGCCGCCAGGTCCACCAGCAGGGACGTGGTCTCCGAGAGCAGCCGCAGGCTGAAGAGCCGCCACTCCACTGCAAGGGAAGAAGGGCCTGGCGTGACTCGGCGGGGAGCTGCCTGCGGGGGAAGCTGGGGGGCCCCCCCGCACTTACCGTTCTGGCTCTGAACCAGGGAGACCAAGGGCGGCAGGATGTACTGGATGACCTGGAGGAGGGCGAGAGGCTCGGCTCAGCTCTCCACACAAAACAGACGAGCGCCAACCCCACCCACGCCTCTCCACTGACAGGACCACGAAGGGGGGTCGGTGTTCGCAGATTAACATCCGGGATTAAACTCTTCATGACACTGAACAAACCGCCAAGCTCATTTAACTCTGAAAAAGTCCTCCGGTCAAAATGACATTAAGAAAATCAAAAGAGCACTTTCTGAAAACTCAGTGCTTAGGAGGAGAAATTTACAAGACAATGCAAAACTGGCTGATGTAGGTTGGCATTAAACCATCAAATTAATAAGCACACGCTGGTTATCATCACTTATGTCTAGGCTGAACAATGATCAAAATGCTGGAGAAAATGAGGCAATAATCCCCGCTTTACAAATACATCAAACAAGTTATTTATAAAAATAGACCCCAAAAATGGAAATACATTATACAAATCATTCCTATGAGAAGCCAGTTATATCAGACAGACCACACTCAAATAGTGTTTGAAACAACCCAAAATAACAAGTTCTTTTCTTCCAAAATATCAGTGAAAAAGAATAAGCCATTAGCATAATCTAACTGAAAAGCCTACTGTCGAGGGACTGTCAGGGCGGTTGGGGGGTGACCAAAGTGTGCGATGTGCACGGACAAAAGTGCCACGAGGCACTGTGAACCTGTACCGTCTGTGCACCTGCTCCTTCCTCGGTGCCAAGGGTGAGCGAGGCGATGCACAGAGAAAGCTGTGTGTGTGCCTGGTGGCCCAGCCTTGTCCACCCGTCCTACTTCCATGTCATGGGACAAGCTCACACACAGTTCCAGCTGACAGTTGTACAAGAACTCTTAAGTAGCAGGCGTGTTTTGTTCTCTTCTACTGTGATGTCTCACCACTCACTCAAAGCTCAGCTATCATGCTCCACCAGAGTGTTCTGAGAACTTTAAAATTCCAGGTATGACAACAGCAAGACTACACAAAGGAAAGGAAGGCAGCCTAGCATCAACCCCCGTCAATGTGATCCTCTTCTAACTTAAAAATGCTAACAATATACATGAAGGAGGTAGTGGCGCTAAAATAAGTGATATGTGTCCATCTGAAGGTCTGAAAAATAAATATGAACAGAAAATGGAAAACTGGAAGACAGAAAATGACTACACAAAAATCTAGTTTCCTGTTTACCTATAGCAACCAACAAACACAATTTGGAAAAAAATAGCATTTGCAACAATAAAGCTCTATACCACCTATGACATCATGAACTTTACAGGCATACAAGCATAAAGTTATGTGAAAATAACTCATATAGTACTATGGCCTTCAACAGACCCATCGGGCCCAGTGCCAGTGAACAGGAAACAGGCTCAGAATTCATCACAGCTGCCGTCATGAGAGAACAGAATGAAAGCCAACAGCTTCTCTGAGATGCAGCAGACGGCTCAAGCCACAGGACCAATGCCATCCCCAAACCAGAGCAGGCAGATCCAGACGGCGGCTCACAGGGGCAGAAGGCATTGGTGCCAGAGTGTTAGGTAGCTAAATGAGCACTGGAGACCGGCGGTGGACATCCTCAAGTAAAAACACTCAGGGCTTTAGGGGATCTTCACACTTCCAGGACCTCATGCTCCAGGAGCCCCACCAAGCTCTTAGGTGAAAATGGAAAAGAGTCCCCAGAAGCTCCCGGCAGGGAAGGAAAACTATCCATTCTGAAATATGCCCCGAGAATTCTTTCCTTCTTAACGAAGGCCTGAACTCAAGGGAAGCTATTTTACCACACACAGCCAAACCTACTGGGGCTTTCCGGAACTTTCCTGACCCAGAGGAAGAGAAACACCTATGTCCAGTCCCCTCTGGCCTCCCTGCATTGCCTGCAGGGAGGAGATGCTGACAAGCACATGTGGGAAGGTCCCCTTGTGCACAAACATGCACCAGGGTGGGACCCAGTCCAAGAACTAGAGATCACTCTCAGCCCCACACCTCCCACAACATCCACAGCGCCCTGCAGAGTGATGCAGAAATGCTACTAGAAAGCTTCAGACAAAGGCTTAGGCTGAAAAGGAATTCCTGGGGAAACCCAGAGACTAAAGGATGAACAAAGTCAAGGATGCTTCGGGAACCCAGAGCTACTGCAGACAGTAGACACCGCCTTGGTCCTGGGCTTTGCTGAGCATAAATTTAACCAGCAGTGGGCTGATTCCCCTCTGTATTTCACTGGATCCATGACATTGGAGGGAAATGTGCAGTGCTAAGACAGAAAAACCTACAGAATTCTGAGCCAACTGAAATTATCATACATACACTCACGAGGAATTTCTTTTGCCTGAAAGTCTGCCATATGGCCAACATTAAAAGAGATTCTTCGAAGAGATGGAAAACAACCTATAGTCAAAAACTTGGATCTGCACAGAGAAATGAAGAGCATTAGAGACGCGAATAAATAAGGGGAAGTGCAGTCTCAACAGAAGCTCAGAGAGGCCAGGTCTCTGCAGATGAACCTACCACTCAGATGCAAAGACAGTGGATGGCCCACCATCCTTCCCTGAGCTCCTAGGGTTGGTTCTGTAGCACGCAGGGAAAGCAGAGGTCACAGACAGCAGAAGTGTGTCAAGAAAGCACGCAGTGAGATGGCTGACCCTACCAGGCGCTATATTCACCAGATGGTCATGGAGGGCGCAGCGTGGAGCCAGGCGGAGCTCACAGGGCAGCAGGCAGAGATGCGCACACGAGCCAGAGTGACAACAGTGCAAAACTGCCAGGACCTGCAGTGGGCTCCGGTCCCCACTGGGCACGATGGCCCAGTCCGCAAAGCGGGCCAGAGAAATAAAAGCCAGAACTAGGAGAAAGCCGGGCCAGGACAACCAATGCTGGTACAACTGGCGCAGCCCTGGCCAGTCCCAGGCACTGACTTTTACTGACAATAACTGGGGCAAAGGTGAGCTGCATGCACTTTCTATGGAAATTAATGTAAACAAGGCCCATAAAGGACCAGACAAAGCATTCTCGATGAGGAACAGAGCAGACAGAACATACGGTTGTGATCAGAACACTGTCCTTCTGGTCAGAAGGTTTACTTGTGGGAATGTGGGAATGGAATTTGGGTGCGAGTCACTCTGACCTCGGCACATAGGCTTCAGTCAGACTTGCTCCCATAAACAAGATCACAGCCTGCCTTGGGCATGATCTATATTACAGTCCCTGCACAAAACAAACTCCTCCTTGGACAGGTACAATTTTTAAAAATATTCAAAGAATGTATTTTTGAATTATAAGAAGCTTAAAGATCTAATGATGGAAAGAAAAACTTTAAAGGAAAATACAGAATAACTTTGCGATAGAGTAGGAAAGGATTTTTTTTTTTTTTTTTTTTGGAACCAAGGATTGAACTCTGGCCCCTGCACTTGAGAGGCAGGCGGCAGCACCTCTGAGCTAAATCCCGGCCAAGGAAAGGATGTTTTAAATGACACCAAAAATATATGTAAACTGAAAAGAAAACACAGCATTCGGTTTCCTGCTGCAGTTGGGCAGCATGTGGATGAGAGGTCTGCTCAGCTTACAGCTTTGGAGGCTCAAGCCAAGATCAGGCACCCCATTGGCTTGGCTTTCGGAGAGGGGCTATGGTCTCACTGTTCAGGGGGATGGGCTCCAGGATCTGGTGTGCTAAGTCACCCATACGAAAGGGGGCAGTATTTGAGTACACAGGGCTTCCCCACATAGCCGAGAGCACTTACAATACTTACTACAATGTAACTGCTAGCAAGAAGTCTGTCCACACCCAGTACACATATAACTTTGCTTCTAATAGTTCCACTTGTGGCTGACTGAGTCCTTGTGTGCTGAACTTGCAGGTGTGGAGGGCCCACTGTGTTAAAATGACACAACATGTGCATCACAAGTCCCCACAAGCAAATGAGAGAAGCCATCCGCTCAGAAGAATTCTACAATCCCTGTAAGTCACGATTCATACGCAGGATACATCAAAACAAAGCAATGAGAAAAACACAAGCCCAAAAACTGAACCAAAGACATGTAAATAACTGAACAGGAGGGCCAGGATGTGGCTCAGTGGTGCTCCGCAGGCCTGGCAAGCACAAGGTACTGAGTTCGATCCTCAGTATAGCAAATAATAAAGAAACAAACAGAACATTCACAGAAAGGAGGAGCCACAGAGCCAAGAAGTATCTGAAAATGGCTCACCCTGCTAGTCTTCAGAGAAATGGAAGCAGAACAACTGAGATTCGACTTTACACACAGATGATTAAACCAAAGCATCTGAAGCGCTGCATGACAGTGGGGAAATGGGAACTCATCTGCTACGACAGATCAGTTAACGTGTAGGAAGACCAATTCCGCAATGCCAGCCAAAGCTGAAAATGCACACACTGACAAGCAGCCAGCGATTCCACGTCTACACCATCTGTGATACCTTCAGGGACTCATTTCAGACCTGATTCGAAAGTGAGAAACAGAGTGGTTAGATCTCGCAATCAGCAGCGTTTGTGAAAAACATCAACTTGCAACAGGACGCAGACAGCATGGCTCGATGGATCCTGAACAACACAAGTGACCCTGATACACACTACATGTAAACAGCTGGGTCCAAACGTTGTAAGTTTTAAAAGAAACCTATTTCATTATAGTACCATCTACTTTTTAAAGCAGCATTGTTTTTCTTTGACTAACACGAGGTAATTAAAGTAGTATATACATGCTGATAAAAATCAGTACTAATGCGTGAGACTAGTCTTTCAGAAGAACGGCGGAGAATGAATTATAATGTGACACGAAATGCATTTTTAAGTATATAAATGAAGAATATGAGGAAATTCAGACTACTTTACTGTTTAACTCACATGTATGTTGAGTAATGACAGTTGATTAGCTTATCAAAAGAAGGCTACAGTGAGAATTTAACTGAACAATAAAACCACATGAAAATGACTGCATAGTCAGCAAGTTGAACGAGGTGAAGGATAAAAAACTGAAAATTGTCTAACCAATTTATTCATG